GAAAACCAAACATCACATGTTCTCACTCATAAGTAGGGGTTGAACAATGAGAACAGATGGACACGGGGCAGGCGGGGGGACGGGGAATATCACACACCCGGGACTGTCAGGGGTTGAGGATGTTAGAGGAGGGATAGCAGGGGCTGGGTGTTAGGGGAGGGCTAACATTAGGAGAAATAACCTAATGTAGATGATGGGGGGATGGATGCAGCAATCCATCATGGCACAGGTATACCTGTGTAACAAACCTGCACATTTTGCACATGTACCCCAGATCTTAAAGTATAATAATTTTAAAAGGCTACCCAATGGAGAGATTGAGGGAGTCCCATATGTCACCCAAATGTACATATAGTGAACATGTTTTTCGAAACAACACAAAGACACAAAATCTGGAAAAGAAGATTCCAAACGTTTTCACCATGGAGAAATTAACAACTGTTTGTGATAATAGAGACTCTAATTATCCTGATTTTATAATTCTTCTGTGTCTGCACTAACCAAAATGCCCCACTCTAACTCCCCCCATTGTGTATCTTTACCATATGGATAACCTTTCAAAAAATACATAAATGTGCAATGCTGAAATTCATATGGACCACAAAACACCCAGAATTTCCAAAGCAATCCCGAGAAATCCAAACTACATCGGTTGTGTCACACTTACTGATTTTAAATGTCATTGAAAAGCTGAAACCCCATTCCACAGAGAGCAGTGGGATAGATGACAGGACCCAGACGTAAACCTGCACCCCTAATACCATCTGATATACAACAAAATCCACAAAAAATAAGCTTTGGAGAAAAGAATCCCTCCTCTCAATAGATGGTACTGGGACAAATGGCTAGACAGTTGCAGAAGAAAAACTGTTGGGCCCTGCTGTGTCTCACGGAATAAACTCAAAATGAATGAAAGATGTAAATGCAAGATGTCAAACTATGAAAAGCATGCAAGAGAACCCAGGAAATACCCTTCTTGACAGAGGATTTGGCACAGCATGGATATGCCTAAGTCTCCAAAAGCAAGTGCAACTACAATTATTGGCCGGTGTGACCTAATACACAAAAGAGCTGCTGCACAGCAGAAGAAATTACCCACAGAATAAACCGACAACCTGCACAATGGGAGAAATGTTTCCACGTAGGCATCTGATGAAGTCTAATATCCAGGATCTACCTTAAAGACGTTAAGCAAATAAATCAGCAAAACAAAAACCCAATGAAGAAAGGGCAAGGGGCATGATAATACGAATCTCAGAAGGCAGCTTACAGCAGCAAACAGACATGACGGCATTTCTCTACCACAGTAATCACCGGAGAAATGCAAAGCAAAAGGCCCATGAGATAGTATTTCACACTGGTCAGAATGACGATTATGACACCAGTCCACAAGAATGACTGCCATCAAGGCAGAGGAGGAGAGGGATGCTGGTCTGCTGTTGGTGGAAATGCAAACTAGTTCAGACACCATGGTAAACAATGTGGGGATTTCTCAAGTAACTTTCTCAACATCATTGATCCTCACAAAAATGTCCATGAAAACCACACTAAGATTTCATCTCATTCCACTCAGAATGAATACTACCAAAAACAAAACACAGTTTTGAAGGTGCCAGCCAGTGGAGACTTGCAGAAGGGTAACCTCTTAAACAGTATTGGTGGGGACGTAAATTAGTATACACACTAAGAAAAACGGCTAGAGGTTCCTGAAAAAATTCACTGTACAACTACCACGTCAGCTAGCAGCCCCACCACGAGTTCCACATTTAAAGCAGTTGAAATCCCTAGTTTGAAGAGAGCTATCTGCCTGCCCGTGGGTACTGAAGCACTTGTAACTGTGGTCAAGGTACAGAACCAACCTACCTGTCCATACACAGCTGCAGGGATGAAGAAACCGCCATACAGATACACCACGGAATATGTTTCAGCCATAAATCTTTGGGAAATCCTGCCATCTGCAGCCACATGAAGAAACATGGAGAACATCAGGTCTAACAAATGAGCCTGGTAGAGAAAGTCCCATTCCACATGGTCTCAGGCATGCAGACTGAAAAAGCTTTATCCCCTAGAAGTAGAAAGTTCAATGGGCATTACCAGAGGCTGCTGGGGAGATGGAGGGGGTCTTGGAAGGAATCAGTAATGGGTACAAAGTTACTCTCAGATGAGAGGAATCAATTCTGTATCAAAATCTTCCTTGTATCCTCTAATTACATTTAGTGTATGGCAAATTGTGTTTTAAGAAATATGAAGAAATAATGCTGAAATGTATGTGGAAATGTGAAACACCCTGAATTTCCAAAGCTATCCTGAGAAATACAAACCATGTGGGATGTAGCACATTCCCTGAGTTCTAATTAAATGAAAATCTCTAGTTAACCCACCCATATGTTGCCAGCATACACAGAGAAACACAGACCAGTGAGCAAAACGAGGGCACAATAATAAACACAAATAACACTGTGTACACAATCAGAAACACAAATTTATACAGAGTGAACATGTTTCAAAACACCACCAAAATGACACAATAGGGAAGGTTTTCAAAACTAAATAGCCACATGCTAAAGAATAATATAGGACTCTTATGCCATTAAGGGTGCAATAATCAACTCAAAAAGATTAAAAGATTCTATGCAAAACTTGCAACCATAAAGCTCCTATAAAGACAACCGCAGGTATGGGTATATTTCGGGCAACTTGGATATATGCTCACGGTTTACAAAAAGTAACAAAAATACAAGGGAAAAAATCATGGACAATGGACTGCTTTGGTAGTGACTTTTTTTCTTGATTTGCAACCAACAGCACAGCTAACCAAAATATTATGCAATATGTGGGACCATGTGAAACTGAAGAGTTTGTGCCCAACAAAGGAAAACAACGAACAAAATGAAAAAGCATACTGAAAATTATTTAAAAATCTGGGCACACACACAGTGGATAAGGGGTTATTTTTGAAAAGGCACAAGCCAGTAACACTACCAGCTGACAAAAAAACTAACAACAGAAAAATAACCAGATCAAAATTGGGCAAATAGCCTGAATAGATATCTGTGCAAAGACAGGAAACTGAACCAATGATTACAAAATCTTGGGTAACATTACTACTCATGAGAAAAATGCAGATCAAAACCACACTCAGATCTTATCTCACCCCAACTAGAATGAACATTACTAAAATATTAAAATATTTCAAAAGACATCTTCTGATATGAATTTCCAAAAGGGGAACTGTTTGTGGAAACATAAATTAGTATTAACACTATAAAAAAAAAAAGTTGGGAATCCTGCAAAGAATAAAACACAGAAAGAAATACCATGCCATTTAGCAGTCCCACTACTGGGTAGACATGCAACCTACCTGTTCATCCACAGATATAGAGACCAAGAAACTCTCGTATACATTCAGGAATATTCCTCGGCCATCAGAATAATCAAACAGCATCATTTACAGCAACCCAGATGAACATGGAAAACTATGTTAAATGTAATGAACTAGGCCCAGAAAGGCACACACTGCATGATACCACTGCTGTGAAATCTTAAGACGTTTATCTTCAATAGAAAGCAAAATATTGGTAACTGGAGTCTGGAAGATGGAGGGGGAATGGGGATTGGTTATGAAAACAAAGTTATCTTACCGTTAAAGGACTAAATCTGAGTGTTCTCCTCAGCCTGGTGACTGGACTTAACAATACTGTATTTTTCAAAAGAGCAAGAAGGGAGAATTTTGAATGTTCTCTCCACACAAAAATGATACCTGTATGAGATAACAGAAATCCTAAGTACCCTGATTTGATCATTAATCGATCTATATGTATGAAAATGTACCCCTAGTTATGGACTTTTATGTTGTGAAAAAAAGTTAACAGAAAGAAATACGTATTTGCTAAAAATCACAGGGAACAACAAAAGCAATGGTCTAAAGGAATCCTGAGAAATACAATCAAAGTGAGGACCCACAAACCTAAATGCCAAATGACAGTGCCGAGTGGCACTGCACAAACCTGAAAAATCTTTGCACAGCAAAGAAAACCACTTTCCAAATTTAAAAAAAAATCCTATAGATTAGGCAAAAATTTCAGGCAATCGTGTAATTCATGAGGAGTTGTCACCTAACGTGTACACAAAAAAACACTACAAAACAGAAAAAGAATCCATTCTAGAACCTGACCAGACAATTCTGTAGACATAAAATCGAACAACAGATAAGAGACTAGGTCCTCAAAATGAACTATTCATTAGGAAACTAATTCGACAGGCACAGTGGCTCGCGCCTGTAATCCCAGCACTTTGGGTGGCCTAGTTGGGTGGATCACCTGAGGTCAGGAGTTTGAAACTAGCCCGACCAAAACGGTGAAATCCCACCTCTACTAAAAATACAAATATTAGCCTGGCATCATAGTGGTGGGCATCTGTAGTCCCAGCTACTCAGGAGGCTGAGACAGGAGAATTGCCTGAACCCAGGAGGTGAATGAAGGTTGCAATGAGCCGAGATTGCGGCACTGCACTCCAGCCTGGGCGACAGAGCCAGACTCAGTCTCTTTAAAAAAAAAAAAAAAAAAAATAGAAATGCGGGTGTGGTTTTAGAAAAAGGGGAACTCATACTCTGCAGGTGGAAATGAAAATTAGGATACCCCAGCTCAGACACCAGTGGGGTTCAGGTCCCGGGCTTCACCACAGGCTCAGTGCCTATGCACTTCTAGACGCTGGATGCGGGTCTGACACGGGCACAGCCTTCCTGGCAGGGCTGCAGATGCTGCCACGGCCAGGACCCTACAACCGCCCCCACACATACGACGGGGGCCCAAATGCCCACAAAGAAGTCAGGGCCGGAAAGCAGGGAGCCGTGTAGAAGGAGCAGGGAGATCTGGAAGGTTCCTGGTGGGGTATGAGTCCCCGCCCCTTCCTGCAGAGACCTGCCTCCTCCTCCACCATCACGTGGAAGCTATCACGGCTTCTCCTAAGAGCCTCTGACCACATCTCCGCTTCTGCCGGCTCCCTCCGACCGCGCCGCCGCCTCAGCGGACTCCCTCTGGCCGCGCCTCGGCCTCAGCGGACTCCCTCCGGCCGCGCTGTCACCTCTGCGGACTCCCTCCGGCCGCGCCTCGGCCTCTGCGGACTCCCTCCGGCTACACGGCCGCTTCTGTGGACTCCTTAGGGCCATGGCGCGGCTTCTGCTGACTCCCTCCGACCCTGCCGCTGCTCCCACCAGATCCTCGCAGGAAGCAGAGTCTCGCCTTCCTTCCGTAGGGGAACCCAGCCGGCTGCATCCCTCGACTCAAACTGAAGCACTACCACCCCCTTAAAGGTACCGCAGCTCTGCCTGCCCAGCTGGATGAGACCAAGTCTTAGGCTAACCAATCAGAACATACAAATGAAGCCCAATGAGAGTAGACCTTGAAGTTTGCTCTCATCCAATCAGAACATGTAGTCTAGGCATGCCTTATATAAAGGACGGCAAGAGGGTGTCTCGCCATTTTGGGACTCAGAATTCTGCCTACGTGGGCCTTCCTGCTTCCAGCTGACTTAGAGGAGAAGGAGGAGTGGCCGCCCGCTGCCCATGCTGGAGGCTGGAGGCTGGAGCCTGCAGCATCGGGTCGCCTAGCTGTTGCGGTTGGTGGCGGTGACGGAGACTACAGCACAGCTGGAAAGGTAAAAAGATGGCGGGATAGATTCGCCATCCTGGCCTGCACAGCCTGAGGCATGGGGGACGGCTTGGGGGGTGCCCTGCCATGGGCAGTGGGCCCTATCCAGGGTGTCACTGCTGGTGTTGCGGGGGCTGTTTGGGGGGCTTATTTGAGGTGCCACTACCCACGGAGGAGAGAGGGTTGGGGGCCCTTTCCTGGGGTGTGCTGCCCATTGCTGGGGGGGTGGGATGGGGCCTGTCCCAAGCGGTACTGCCAGCAGCAGTGGGGCATTTTGTGGGCACTGTCGGGGGATGTACTGCCCTAGGTGGGGGGTGAGTTGGAGGAGCTATCAGGTGCTGCAATGCCCTTGTCGGGGATGGGTTGGTGGCACTATGGGGTGCAACACTGCCAGCGGTGAGGGGTGTGTTGGGGGTGCTATCAAGTGTTACATTGTCCCCAGTGGGTGGGGGGTGTGATATCCAGGACATCATTGCCTGTGTCTGGGAGCTGGTTGGGGACACTATCCAAGGCTGCATTACCCACATGGGGAGCGGGTTAGGGGCACTATCTGGGGCTGCAGTGCTGGTGGTGGAGGATGGGTTAGGATTACTATAGGGTGCTACACTGCTGGTGACGAGGAGGGGTGGTGTTCAAGGCACTTTGGGGACTACACTGAGAAGAGGTGGGGAGGCTTTTTGGGAGAGCTACACAGGGTTGGACTGCCCATGGAGGGGGGTAGAGGGTTGGTTGGGGCACTCTTGGGGCCGGATACACAGCCTGAGTCGAGGGGAGGTGGCGGGTGGGTTGGGTGCTCTCAGGGATCTGCACTGCCTGGCAAAGAGTGGGTGAGTGTGCTATTCCGGGCTGCGTTGGTTGTGGCAGGGGCAGGTTGGGTGCCCTGGGTTGTGGCAGGGGCTACCTGAGCTGTCCATGGTGGTATTTCCCAAGGTGGAGAAGGAGTTTGGAGTGCTATCTGTGGCTGCACTGCCCAAGGCAGGGAGTTGGTTGGGGGCGCTATCCAGGGCCACACTGTTCACAACAGGGAGTGGGTTAGGGCACTCACTATTCAGGGTTGCAGTGCTCGCAGTGGGGGGTGGTTTGGGTGCCATATGGGGGCATCACTGCCTGCAGTGGGGGCCTAGTGCGGAACGCTATCTGTGGCTACACTGTCCACCGCAGGGAGTCGGTTGGGGCACTATCCCGGGCTGTGCTGCCCATGGCAGGGGGGTGGTTTGCGGGTGCCATCGAGTGCTGCAGTGTCTAAGGCAGGGGCAGGTTAGGGGCTGCCATCACATGCTACACTGCCAGTGGTGGGGGATGGGGTGTTGGCACTATCCTGGGGTTACACTGCTGGTGGCAGCAGGTTAGGGGCTCTGTCAGAAGCTGCATTGCTGGTGGCAGGTGATGGAGGTTTCAGCAACAGTGGTGGTCTCTGAGAGAGGAGTGGTCCTCCTCTCCCCGGGCCCTAAACTCTAAAGGGCCATCTCCTCCTGCATGGTGGACACACTTTTCTGTGAAAATCCTGATCACAGCAGGGCACCCAGACCCATCGTGGTTCCCAGGCCCGAGCCCTCACATTCTGTGTTGCAGACTGCCAAGGATACCCAGGCATGCAGTAGCAGACACCATGGGGTGCCTGTGGGTGGAGGTCTCAGGAATGGGAACCAGCACTTTGGTGGGGACGGCTGGCTGGGGCTGAGTTTCTGCTGCTCCTGCTTCCCGAGCACAGCCTGGGTGGTCCCAGTCGTTCCTGTAGAGTGGGAAGCCCAGGCACTATGGCGTCTCCAGTCTCCACTCCCTAGCCAGCTTGGGCCAAAAAGAGATGCCATGGACTTTGGAGGATGGGTGTGAGTGCCTTCACTGAAACTGGCCTGTGCCACCCAGTGGCCAGCATGATAAGGTGGGGATCTAATGCTACCATTCTGTGTCCTGTTCTAGGCTTTTGTGGCTTTGCCCGCCCAGCTGCTCCATGCCAGGAGAAGGAAGAGCCATCTGCTGCATGCTGGAGGCAGGAGCCTGTGGCACCATGGCTCGCCTCGCTGCAGTGGGTGGCAGTGATGGAGACTGCAGAGCGCCGGAGAGGTAGGAGGGTGGCTGGCTGCCACCAGGGCAGGGACAGGGTGCAGAGGTGGCCAGGTGGCAGGAGCCTTTTAGAATGGGTCCCTGTGTTGAGGCAGACAGCAGTGGTATTGGCATTGGTGCTAGTGGTGGCCGCAGCAGCAACTCTGAGGACTGGGAAGGTGGGTAGAGTGCTGCAGGCTGGCCTGGCCTTGCCTGGCCTGGGGTGGGTAGGAAGCTGTGGGTGCTGTACCATGGGCCTCTGTGGTAGTGGTGGAGTCACAGCCAAGGCAAGGAGAAGTCTTCCCCAGGGAAGATGGAAGGGAGACTGATGCAGGAATTTTTTGCCCCAAGGAAATTGAGGTGGGATCAAAGGATTTTCATCATGGTATTGTTTGTTTGCAATAGTAAACCTTAGACACAACCTAAATCCCCACATTTATGAAAGAGTAGATAAATTATGGTACATCTTTGCAGTAAGATAATTGAGGCTTTTCCAAATCATTTAAAATAACATTTTACTGATTTATTAGCAATGTTGAATGTTGTTTGAATAAATGGAAAGGGAAATACTCATGATGTATTAAGTTTAAAATAAGACACAAACTACTGCCTTTCAAAGTTTAAAGATGTCTGTGTAGTTATATCATTGTTTACAAAGGCAGATCATATGACAGTGTTTAATATATTACCTCTGGGTACAGATACTCTAGGGTTTTTTTGTTAGTTTGTTTTCATTGCACTTTGCAAATTTTGTGTAGTAGCACAGTTTTTAAAAATATATTTTTCTCTAGACTTTGAAAGGAATGAAGATGGAAGGAAAGAGAAGGTAATGATTTCAAATAGATTGATAATGGGAATAGAAATCTTGTCCTCCTTGCTTGGGAGGAACATGATGTATTCACAGGTGTAAGAGCACAGCATACTGTGGGGTTTGGCTCACCCACATATAACTTGTGACTGTCATGGGTGCCACCGTTTCTGTAAGAAGGCCTTGCAAGTGATAATCCAGGTAGAGGAGCACCAACAAACTTCTAGAGGTTTTGTGTGTATTCGAGCCCCCAGCCTTTTTACTTAGTTCATTTCGGAAGTGTCTTTTGGGAAAACGCAAAGGAGCGTAATGGGGAGAGGTCATGAAAGACTTGCTTTACATCCTTTTGTGCAGCCACAGCGATTCCTTCCTGCATTAGCTATGTGGTCAGTTTCCTGATCTTTCATGTTACATTGCTTTTTGTTGAAAGTTTTTTTTTGTAATGGAAATAACTATGGTAAAGGGCCTTAAACAACTATTAATTTTGTCTCAAAAATCAGGAAGCCCATAGGTTGGCAGTTCTAAGAGTGGTGGTTGTTATCTTGGGAATTTTCATGGGCTTGTCATGGGCAATGGGTGAGAACAAATTCAGAAGTCAGCTGCTTACTGGACTGTAGATGGGGAGAGGGGAGGCAACTGTATTCTTATATGCACTCTCTCATTACCAGAGAGGGAATCTTCTCCCTCAGATGTCCTAGACTTTGCTTCAGGTACATTGGCCAAGGTGGTGTCCCAGGCTCATGACCCGTCTTCAGGGAAAACTGAGAAAGTGATAATTCTTTGTGTCTTTGCCTGTATATGTTTCTATGTGTGTCTCAGCGTGTGTATCTTTGTGTTTTCAGTCTTCTCAGTAGGGAAGTATAGCTCTCTGGTTAGGCAACCAACAAAATCCCCCATGAGTTCCTTTGAAGGTTTATTGTAAGAAGAAAAATCTTATTTTGGGAGCAGGGATAATTAATATGTGTAAGTTAGTTTCTCTCTCCTCACACCCTCCTTTTTCTTTTCTTTTCTTTTTTTTTTTTTTTTTTTGTGTGTTTTTTTTTTTTTTCTACCTTTTTTTTTTTTTTTTTTTTTTTTTTGAGATGGAGTCTTGCTGTGTTACCAAGGCTGGAGCACACAGTGGTGTGATCCTGGCTCACAGCAACCTCCAAGTAGAAGACAGGAAAAGGCAGCCCTCTCTGATGGGGACAGGCTGAGGGCAGACCGAAGTAGGAACATTCTGGGGAGATTTTTGTCTCACTTCCCCATGGGGCTGGAGCACTGTGTGGTAACTGTTGTTGTCATCATGAGACTGACAGTAGTAATCAGCCTAGTCCTTAGACTCCAGCCCAGAGATGGTCATGGAGGCAGAGTTGGAGGGCTGATACTAATCCACATATTTGCTCGCAGTGCTACCACTGCCACAGGTGCAGAAGATGCTATTCTTTTTTCCCAGAGACCCTGACACAGAGTGGGACTGAGTGAACACATTCTCCTACCAAGACCCTGCAAGAAGAGAACAATACTGAGAACAGTGAGGACAGATCAGGTCTGCTTCCCAGTGAGGAGAGAGAGGTCATCACAGGTGACATCCTGGAGACCTCCTTGAGTTCCCTTCAGGCAGCCACCAGTGCAATGAGTGAGGAAGGTCAGAATGAATGGAATCCAGGGCACGGTGAAGATGCCCCAGGCTCTGCTGCCTGAGCCCATAGCCAGGACTGCAGATAAAATGTTAAATATCCCACAGGTAGCTGCTCTGCTCATCTTATCTTATGTGAAGTGCTGATTTACTGAGCACAAAATGAATACACAATTGACTATTCCCCTGCCTTCTCCTTTTCTCTTGCAATGTCTGGATTCAGTAATGTGACCACACTTTTCCTCTTTCCCTCCAGCACATTCTTCCCCTTTAAATAATGAAGCCTCAAAATCATCTTTGGAGAAAGGCACAGACCACAGACTGTTTCTATGATTCTGTGTTTATTCCTTCCGACTTGTTCTTAACCTTGGCAAAAAAAAAAAAAACTTCTAAATTGATTGAGACCTGCCTCAGATACTTACCGTTTACGAGGATGTGAAGCAGTTTGTGTTCTCGCCATGCGCGTTGCTACGGCTATCGCTTGTTATCCAAACTTTTACTATCAAGCTCAAGAATTGAATGAAATCAGAGACTGTTAGTCCTTTCTACATAAACTCTTGCCATTCATGTGGGAGCCACATCATTTGGTCAGTGCTCTCCCTCCTGAGTCCAGCTTGGGGCTTGACTGTCATTATCCAAACCAGGAGCCAAATAGACTTGGAAGATTGAGGCAGTCAGTGTGCACAGAACAGGCACCAAGATTTTTGTTTAGCCACCGCGACTTATCTCTAGTGGGTGTAATACTGAGAAACGTTTACTTTGAGACTACATTGTTGTGTTTTAATTTTTACAAACATGTTTACATAACTAATTTTTATAAAATACACCTGTTGCTGAATACTTCTTGTCCCTATCTTGATAGTCATCACCCACATTTGCAAAGGGGGCCTTGCTCGAGTGTTTGAAAACGAATGCCCTCAGACAGACGTCCACCAGCCTGCTCCTCTCATTCCTATTTAAAGATCATGATCGGGTCCTTCCCTACAGCGGCCCCTGGTTTGCAAAGCTGGACACTCCTGTGTTGAAGATACGTTGATTCACGTACTGCATAAATGTTTTAGATTTTACTGTAAAGCAAACAATTCACATCTCAGACCCGCAGTCTCCCAAGGTCCATTGCCTGTATTGCTGAGGGGTGCACGGAGGCCTTTCTAACATTTCGCTCTGGAGCTCAGCATTACCATTCTAGTAGGCGGCGAGATAGACAGGAGTGGGAAAGGCAGCCCTGGAAACCTTGCTCCCTCTAGCAAACAATACCCACTAGCAATGAGGAGAAAACAGCAGCCACATCAGACTTGCAGTTCGGCTTCTCTGGTCCTGACTGGGACTTATCTGACCCTGACAGGAGATAACTTCAGTAGGGACTTTCCCTAACAGCAAGCATGCACCCTTCAACTTGGCTTGCCCTAAAGGTAACATTTACTTATTATAGTGGTAAAAAACACACCCCTGGGTAGAGATTTCAGACATCGATAAGACGTGATATATATACTAGCACGCATCACCATAGAGCGTGTGCACCAAGGAGACCACCCAAAATGTGCTTGCTAGTAACATCCCTTCACACCCTTTTCATGAATAATTATGTAAGACCCTCATAGAGGAGCTTCCCCCGTGGCGACCTACGCTGTCTTCTTCTCCAAGCAGCCCGCTCTACTTGGCTTTCAGAGTGTACTGTGTCTTTAAATAAATTCTACACCTGCTTCACTGTCACTGCTTACCTCTTGGCTAAATTCTTTCCTCTAAGAAGACAAGTACTGAAGACCCCACACTCCCGGGTAACACTATCAACTCTTTCTCCTTTTTCTCTGGAGCTGGTGCTCAGATGGTGAGTGCCCTATGCTAATGGTCCCAGAGCGGGAGCCTGTTTGCCCCTGTCTGGCCCTCAGTAATGTCCTTGGTCAGCTGCCTGGTAACAGCTGTCGATTACCAGAGGGACCAAGTGATCAGCACCAGAGTCAATCACTTCACAGAGGAGCTGAAGTGGACAGGGTCAGCTCAGCCCTCCTGGACCAGGGTGGGAACATCATCCCATGATGGCAGGTCAGTGTCTCAGCTACCTTGGAAGCACCTCTTCATAAACTACAGGGATCATTTAGATAAAAGTATAGTCTGTTGATTTTTACACCTTTATAAAAATCTTTGCTAATACCTATCTGTTAGCTGTGACGATTACAATTGTTTTTATTTTTTGTTTTGTTTCTCATTACTAAAGATATTCTATGGAGCTTTAAAGCCTCCTGCTGTAAGAAACTAGTAAAGAAACATACTGTGTGGAGAAAGGAAAATTACCCACAATTCTTGTTCTCTAAGGTACATGGTTGTCATTCCACCAGCCATTCTCAGCAGTGTCCTGAGGACCCTCAGATGTGTTTCATTCCCTTAGCATTTTAATCCTCTCCTCCACTCTCAACTGCCACTTTTCGCATGAATGGGGAAAGGGGTTGGGAGAGACATCTCCTGTCTTGGTCCCACGGATTTAAAGTTCAAGTCAGAAGCTCCAGTGGTTGCCCGTGTGTAGTAGTCAGGGGGGCAAGACAGATGTGGGGTTAGTAGTCTTTCCTTCTCTGTATATCTGGCAGGCTCTCTCCTCAAGCTGGGGCTTCATGGAGTCCCAGAATGTTGAACTTGAAGTAGTCTCAGCAGCCATGCTGCAGCTGGAGTCAGCCCATCCAAGTGTTGGTCTCACTCCCTCGTGACTGGGATGCTTGGAAGAGCCAAATGGGCAGGCAGGCTTGGAGAACATGTGCTTGCACAACTAAAGTGTACCTTGAACCATTTGATTGCAACTACATGTGTGCGTGTGTGTGTGTGTGTGTGTGTGTATTGGGAGGATGCATAACAGTCTCACTGAGGGGTTACTAACATCTAATAGAGGGACTTATGCGTCTGTGAAACCATCACCATTATCAGGACAGCGAGCATGTCCATGTCCCATAGGTTTTCTTCTGCTCCTTTGTGATTCCTTTCTCCTGTCTCTCCTGCCTGGCTCCACCCCAAGCAATGACTGATCTGCTTTCTGTCACAATATATAAATTGGCAACTACTTATAATACCAGTTCTAACCTCATCAGGCAAATACTTTCTTTTTGTAAATTGGGCTTTTCATTGTGTGTTCAACATTCTTGATCCCGAAAGAGTGAGAGAAAAGCTGGTGTGGGCCCCTCTTGGGAGGCCTGCCCCTATCCACGGACCAGCATGGCTCACATGCCTTGGAGCCTCTGCCCGCAGGACAGCCCTGACTGCCCGTCCACAAGCTTTGCAGTACCCTCTACCTTTCCTGGGCAGGGTCTGTGCAGTGCAGAACTTTCTCCCAGTCCTTGCACCAAATAACGAATGTCAGAGATAGTACATTTGGAGCCAGTGGCTATGCCCTCACCTCTAATGCCTGCAGTACTGAGCTGCTAAGCAAAAGATACCTCCCTTTTTGATTTTTCCTCAGGGTCTCGCCCTTTGTACTCTGCTCTTCCTTATGCAGGATCTCTCCTCTGTCTGCTCTTCTCCCACCTCCTGCAGTCCCTGGACCCCCCTTGGCAATGCAATGAGACTCTTCTATATCCTCAGTCCATTGCAGGACCACAGCTCTGACCTGGCCCTCCTCCATTTTCTAAGCCCTGCACCTGTGGGGTTGGGAATGGGCACCAACACAACCCCAATGTGGCATCAGTCCCACCATCTCCAATGCAGGAAGAGTTCCAGATGTCAGGAGCTATGGCATTGTCCTGCACACATGGCATGTCCTGGACTTAGAAAATGATGGTAATGATATTTTCTCACAAAATAGACAATAACATCTATGAAAGTGCCTAGTTCATTTTCTAGCACAAAATATATATCAAAGCAGTGGGGTTTAGTAGGCATATGTAGATTTTAAAGCTCTTCAGAAGTCAGGTAAAGATTTCTTTAATAATTAAAAAGAAAACAAAACACTACCCCAAAAGGAGAATATCGATACATTGGATGATAGTAAAATTAAGAATCCCTCAAGAAATTCAATAAGAGAGGGAAAAGATAAGTCACATGGGAAATGAATTTGTCACACATGTAACAGGCAAAGGACTCATGTCCAGAGTGTATGAAGAATTTCTACAAATGAAGGAATCCAACAGAAAAATAAACAAGAGAAGAGAATAGGAACTTCTTAAAAAAAAAAAGAAAAGAAAAAAAGAAGAAAGGAAGGAAAGACAAATGAACATCCAAATGGCCAGAAAGCATATAAAAATGCCCAGCCTCATAAACCATCAGACAAATGTAATCCACAATGAGAAACCAATATACACCAGCCAGCATGGCTAAAATTAAAAAGACTGTTAATACCAAGTGTTGGTGAGAACGTGAAGTAACTGAAACCTTTATACACTGCTAGTGGGAATGTGAAATAGCACACCTACTTTAGAAAATTCTTTGGGAATACTGCTAAAGGTGAGCACCCCTATGATCCTGAAATCCCACTCCAACGTGAAAACCCAAAGGAAATGCATCCTGATAGAGGCACTCTTCATAATAGCCCAAAGTTCATCACAGAAGAATGGACAAATATATATTATACCATGGAAATTTTATAGTAATGAAAATAGGTTAATAACTGCCATGCAAGGCCGGGCGTGGTGGCTCATGCCTGTAATCCAAGCACTTTGGAGGCCAAGGCGGGTGGATCACCTGAGATCAGGAGTTCAAAACCAGCCTGACCAACATGGTGAAACCCCATCTTTAAAA